CTAATGGAGCTTGTTTGAAAAACGTTAAATTAAATATAATATTTAAAATACAGTTGTCCTCCTTGTACATGACTACAATACAACTAAAAAAACTAATTTAATAAAAAAAACAAGGGGTTGTAAAAAACTTTAAATATGATTTTTTTATATTTTTTAACATCGAAACTTGAAGGTATAATAACAGGTATCATATATAACAGCTATCGATAAATAGAGTATGTCATATAAAAATGTTTTGAATTTTTACTAGAATCGACCCTTGATAAAAAAGAGACTAGATTTAAGTTTCCCTTTGATCCAGTCTGTATATTTCTTTGGATTTTCTGCACGTGTGCAAAAACTACACTAAAACACTATATCTTATAGAAAATTAAATATTGTGCGTTGAATTTGAGGGATTTCATCTGAAAAATTATTAATTTAGAAGAAAACCGGCAACAAGCGGCAGAAAATAATAATATTTTAGTGCAGTCTACTGGTCGCAACGACCAACGGACGGCCAGGACGTTAGTGTCCGCTGTATCATTTGATTTAATGATTTTAGAGGTAGCAGAGGCCTGGCCGGTGCGACCTGGTCGTCAGTGTGTTCTAGCTCTAATGGGCAAATTCGTGACAAAGCTGATTTAATTTCCCCTTATGTCTCAAGTGCTGTATGGTGGAGACACTGATCGCGCTGCGGCCAACGCATAAAGTACTTATTTTCTCTAATTCGGCCAGCGAAGGCATATCGAAGACGGGTAGAACTGAAAGCGACAGTGTTGCCATATAATGTGTATCTGTAATACGTTTCACGAAAATATTTCTGGATCAAAAATCCGCGTTTTATGTATTGAAGATTTGGACTAGTAGTAATAATATTTAATAATAAATTAGGTAAAATATATAAAATATATTATAATATATTAATTTTATTTTTACTTTAATGTTATTAATTGTGATTAATAAAATTGCGTTTATCTCATCAAGGAGGCCGAATTTGACAAAATATCAAGAGATAACTTTTAATCGGCACTAAACGGCCTACATAATTTTGATGTCAAAAGAAAAAAAGTCAGTGGCGCACCTTCCTTTTTTTTTGAAAAATATTCTAGTGTTAATCCATATGCACGTCCCTGATGAGTCTATCGACACTTTTTTAGCATTAAAATATGTAGCATTCATAGTAACTTTTACCCTCAAAATTTCATTCGAAAAGCTAAAAGTACTTGGAAGAAAATTCGAAAAAATATTAAGACTTTAATACCCTGTAGCTACGAAAATAGTAGAATTGGATCTATGTTGATATGAAAAATAAATCTTATTTTTACGTGAGGAATATCCCCACAAGAGATGGCACATGTTTTTGAAACACCCTGTATACTATGCATAAAATCAATTAGAAAAATTAACAAGAAAGGACCTAAAATGTGTTCAGAATAACGCAGAAAAAAAATAAATCCAAATGTGTCAAGTGAAATGTCAAACAAAACTGTCAAAAGAAGGTATTTCAAAAATGATACTTCACAGGCTGCTTATTTATAAATGGTTATATAAAACATTTACCAAAAATACCTTTCTTTTAGTAGCGCGGTATCACTTTTGCTAATAGTGTCCTCATCCTTCAGACTTCTTCTACGAGCCCTTTCAATAGCCCCATTCAGTAATTTCAAATGCTCTTCTTTGAGACTGGCAATTTCTTTTTGGTGTTCCTCTTTCAAAATCCTTATTTCCAACTCGTACTTTTCGACAAACCTGTCGCGTAGTTGTAGCAACTCCGATGGCCACTCTTCTTCATCCGCTGCATTTGAAACTAACCTCTACAGATAAAATAACGTTTAAAAAATATTTAATTTAAATAAAAGTAATATAAGAACCTGAATCTGCTCTACTAACTCGTTAACAAGATCAATCTTAGCTAGATTGACTTGTTCTTGTAACCTTCTCTCATAACTTTCAATTACTTCATTGATTTCGAAATCTCCAGAACTTCCCTAATAAAGAAAACAATAAATATCAAAATACAGGGTGGTCCGAACTGTATTCCGGAAACTTCAGCAGGATACTTTGCAGATAAAATAAGTAAAAAATTTCGTATAAATGTTCGGAGATACAGGGTGTACAAGATTCATTTTTATTTCGATTTTTTCCAAATAATTTAGGAAGTAATGTGTTTTTTGACATGAGAAATTTGATTTTGATGTCAATATGACTCCTATTTGTAGGGGGCGCCACCTACATGTGTTTTAACTGTCCGCGACTTTCTACGTAAAAATCGTCTCTGGGTAAAAATCGCTATGAGCAACCGTTCTCAAGATATTGTTGAGTTATCAGACTGAAATAATAAATTTGAGAAATTTTTATTTTTTTTTTAATTATTGATAATTTTTTCTGGAAAAAATTATGATAAAACAGTTTCTGTTGAACTTGTGGCACAAAAACATTTCTAATTTATGATTTCAGTCTAATAACTATGTACAGGGTGGGTCAAATTCGACGCTTTTAAATGGAAACACCCTTTTCTATAGGAGATAGACAAAAACTAATATCGGTGTCTGGAGCTCAATTTTCATCAAAAAAATGATGGTGAAAACCGTATATCGATATCTGTTACCGTTTCGGAGTTACGGGGTGTTTTTCAAAAATATGCATTTTTAACAAATCGCTGTAACTTTTTTGCTATGGAAAATTTTGTATTTTTATGAAATCATTTCCAAAGCACCTTTTTACGTAGAATTTAATGGTTTAAGTATAATTTTTTTAACATTAATAATTTAAGAATTATCAACAGAAAATTTGATTTTTTATATAGGACACCCTGTATATTTTTAATTTATTGAAAAGAATTTAAAATTACCTTTCCAAAAATATAACACACTTGATATTTTCGTCGATTCCTCTTCGAGATATAGAGTATATAAAAATTCGCCTGCTTTAAATAAGTAGGATTTGAACGGCACCGGCTGTAATGCAAAAAAATTCTAGCTGTGAGCATCAATTAAATCGAAAATAATATTTGCTATGAGAGATGCAGAATTTTATAACAATTTAAAATATATTTGACCAACATCAACACATTTAAACTATATCTAATAACAATAAAAATAAATAGCAAACCAAGACATGAGATTTTGCTACAGGTGTTCGACATATCGACCGTCTTCTGTTATGGACAGGCGGGGCAGTTTTTGAACATTTCTCGCGGAATTCATCAACTCAGTGGGGCTGAAAGATAGCCCCTCATAACTGCTAAGTATTTCTAATTCTTGTCTAGATTATACGGAAGAATAAGGAACCTTTATTCTTCCGCAAATATATCCATAGGATTAAATCCATGGGCACTAAGTCAGGCGGCCTCGACGACCAACGGCTGGGATCTTGGTTAGCTATTCAATTATTCTTGAATATGGCTGCAAAAATTTGCTGATAACTTCAGCGTTCAGAGGCAGTGCCTCGTCTTGCTAGAAAAATATGTTTTCGAGTTCCATTAAGGGCATATCATCAATAAGAGGTCCAAAGCCTACTAGTTAAAAGTGGCGAACTCAAAAATTCTGTATTTTGAAGGGGATTGTAACAAAATATCAAGTTTTTGGAAAGGTAATTTTAAATTCTTTTCAGATAATTAAAAATATAGAGGGTGTCCCAAATAAAAAATAAATGTTTCTGTTGATAACTCTTAAATTGTTAATTTAAAAAAAAATATACTTAAACCATTAAATTCTACGTAAAAAGGTGCTTTGGAAATGTTTTCATAGAAATACAAAATTTTCCATAGCAAAAAAATTACAGTGATTTGATAAAAATGCACATTTTTGAAAAACACCCAAAACTCGAAACGGTAACAGATATTGATGTGCGGTTTTCACCATCATGTTTTTGATGAAAATTGAGCTCCAGACACCGATATTAGTTTTCGTCTATCTCCTATAGAAAAGGGTGTTTCCATTTAAAAGCGTCAAATTTGACCCACCCTGTACAGTTGTACAAATATAGGAAGAGATTTGGGGATAGCACCGGTCGCGTGTTATTTTATATTTCTCACGTCTCTAGCTATACTTGTTAAGTTGTAATCAACATGTTTAACTTATATCAATGGTGACAGGTACTGACAATTTCGATTTTAAATATCTCGAGAACCATTACCTGTAGCGATATTTACAAAGAGACTATTTTTATGTAAAAAAATCGTAAATGTATATTTTTTTACTCAGTTGTATTAGTTTAGACAGGTACAGACGAAAAGTTATTACTTTTCAAACCAGTTAAAAAATATGTAGATGGCGCCCTCTACAAGTAGGAGTCATATTGACTTCAAAATATCCTATAATAGGTCAGTTTTAAAAGGAATTTATTCATTTATTTCAAAAAGGACACTCTATATATTATTTTGGTGTTTAATGTAGAAATGACTGTTTAAAATACTAATAAGCTTAATTTCAAACAGATAAATACTTTTCTAGGTATTTACGTTTTATGATTTAGTGTCAGTAGATCTTATAAAAAATAAAGTGAAAAAAATTTACTACTTCAAGACATTTACCGCACATAACGCATGTACCTATGTATGTCCAATTTATTTCTCAAAACTTCTGAATATATGACAGAAATAAAACATATTAAAATACACAATTTTTAACAATCATTTTGCTTACAAAAGTGTATTATTGTGTATTGTATGAATGTTTAAATGATCACAATACACACAAGAATTCTCAAATGTTATTTTTAAGTTATATAATTATTAATATGTTTAATGATAATTATGAACTATTTCCCCTCTGTAAGATAGATAATACACAGATAAGACAGTAAACAATTAATAAAACATATGATATCATATAATTATTTTTATACAGGATATACATATATGTTGTCATATATCTACTGATATTTAAAAAAAGAAGAAAATAGTTGTTTATTTTTTGGAGTAAATTAATAAAAACATGAACATACATCTTTTCAAACATAATTTTGCTAAACACTTACCACTTCTTGAATAACCGAGCCAATACTCATATTACCATGATCCTTTCTACTTTCTTCCAACTGAAATTTCAAATTAGATATTTCCTCTAAATATTTGTTTTCAATTGCTTTAATCTCCAACTTTTCACCTATTCTCAATAATAAATTCAGTTCGTTTTTCACTTCCAGTTCGATTTTTGACACATCCTTATCACTCAATTCTTCCAATGAATGTTTCGACAACTTGTTTAAAAATCCTGTTAAGTTTTCTTTAAGTTTTTCAATGTCCTCTTTTGATTTTATAACCCTGCTGTGGTCGCCGCCTGGACCAGGCTGTTTCGATAACAGAAAATCATTGCTCAGTTCAACATCTGAACTGGAATCTGACATTTTACGACTCTGCTGGCTGAATATTTCTTCCGAGTAACTGAGAAATAAAACTAAGATAAACACTTCTGGGAAAATTAAGCTGTAACCTTAGAGCAATGTATAAATAGATACACTCAAGGCCAGTAATTTATAATACAAAAATTTTTACTTTTTTCATAATTTTTCACAAAAATACATACTTTTTCTCCAATTCAACACATTTCTTTTCAAAATATGTGCGTAATTCTTCAACTTCTTTAGTATGTTTATTTTCTAACTCGACTTTTAGTTCCGTTAACTCAGTTGATCCACATTTAACATTTTCTAGCAATTCTCTTAATCTGCTGATTTCTTTTTCATAGTTATCTTTGTCAAGTTGTATTTTTTCCTGAAAATTAAATACATCTGTAAGTTCAAAAACAGCAGTCTTCTATAGAAATACTTACATTTAAATTTGATATTTCATTCTTTAATTTGATAATGATATCATCATCACAATTGCTTGAGCTATCCTAAAATATTTAGTTAGTGAGTTAAGTTTTTTCATAAAAAATAATCAAGCATATACTTCTAAATTAACAGGTGCTGTAACATTATCTGTCTCATCTATTTTATCACTTCGGGGTGCAGCACATTGGTGTTCTTTAACCATAATTGCAGTTTCATGCAGTTTTGACTGTAACTGAGCAATTTCTTCCTTAAAAGATTCTACTTGGTTGAGCAGTTCTTTCCTTTCTGTTACAGACTGATCTAAAGATTCGCTTAGCTGTTGAATTAGATCATTTTTATAAATTATGGCACTATTATATTCCAGTAACTAAAAAAAGAGAATATGTAGTATTTTATTAGCACATATATTTCATTCTACCTTAGCTTGACATTCTTCTTGCAACTGCTTGTATTCTGTCGCTGATAACATACTTAATGTGTAAGTAGGGTTGCTCATTTCTCTAAAAGAATCTAATTCCTGTGATATTGCATTAATCGTTGAGTCTTTCACAGCCACAATTTCTTCTAATTGTCTAACTCTTTTCTCAATGTC